CCAAAAATTAAATTGATAAATAAAATATCCTTCAATTACCAAAAAGCTTTCAGTTTTATAATTATAGGATAATCTGGATTTTATTCATTTATATTTACATTTATTTCTCACAGTTTAATTCAAAAAAGGCAACAGATCTATTTCTCTCCTACATCTAATTTTTCTTTGAAAATTACTTTTCTACCCCAAAGTGAAGGCCAGGGTGTCGAAGTCTCTGTGTGTGAGCTGCAGTAATAGCAGAAATTCAGTTTGAAATTACTCACTCACTCAAGTACCTACAGTTACATAGGACACAGGACGGTAAAGTTTAAATAAAGAGCAACCTGCTACTTGAATATTTTACACAAGCACAAATAAACGACTTCATATTCATTTAATGCTTAATGATAGTGAAACTGCTGCCACTCAGATGCTTTACTGTTGGTGTTGCATGGTGGATCAAAATCTGACTTTTTTTTAATTTTGTGATTTTTCTGATTTTCTGTGTTCGTAATTCCTTTCTTAAAAAGTAAAATTCTTTTTAATGCACCAAGATAATACTCTATTACAAGTAAGAGTCTAGCATTCACCCTCCTTAACTATAAGTATACAAGCATAATCAGCATAGTTTCAAAAAGTAGTCATTACTGACTACCTCTAGGGCAAATGTCACCTTCATCTCAAACAGCTACCTCTCTGCAAACATCAGTGTCTTCCTGCGGATGCAGGAGCTGCTCAGAAGGTACGGGGCTGTTATTGTAGCAAAAAGGTTTGTGTGTATCTCGATACCTGTGTGCGTATTTCTGTGTGACTACATGAGCTCACAAAAAAGGGAAAACAATCATTTTTTAAAAGACCTCCAGTGGCATTCAGTCAATCCACAGGCTTTCACCAATCACAGTTCAGTGTACTAAAATTTGTCCTGGATGTGTTCCAACATCTCAGATATGCTGACTTATGAATGAGGGTTGAGTGTATTTTCATACCTTTATAAAAATGACAAGCAACAAGGAAATTGGGACTGACGTGCAAGGCAGTCAGACTGGCTAAGCTGCAGCTCACCTGTGAGACACTAATGAGTGGAAAACCCAGTAATCTGGAAAGATGATGCCAGCTTCCTCCTGATCAATATTAGGGAGAATAAATGTTCCACATGCAGTGTTGGTCAAGTTAAGTGAAAAAAGTAATCAGTAACTAATTACTGATGCAGGTGCAGGTGTGCCGCAGCGGTCAGTGGAAGAATCCGCAAGTTTCTCTGTGAATTTCCCATTCCGTGGCAGCGTACTCGGTGCTTGTGTTTAGGGGTTTTTTTCGCTGTAAAAAGAAGTTTTGTTCCCACGCAGTGAGTGAACAGCGGACGCTAATGTTTTTGTCACTGGAACCTATGGTTTAAGAAAGATGCATTTCCCTTAAATTATATTAAATAATTTTAATATTAGATTTGTAAAGCCTAAAGTTGTATGGCTCAAAACTGTTACAAAACTATAGCAGCAGATAAACAGCACACATAAGCTGTAGAAACAAAGCAAAGGAACGCCAGGTGATCCGTTTGTAAGGAATTCAGTCCCACAGTGCATGAATCTACAGGAATATCAGCATTATCTCCACTGAGGTAACATTACAGTATTTATTCTACACAAGTATTGAAAGAATGAAAAACAGGCTTCAGGCTGCTGCGTCCACGTCCTCAGGAGCAAAAGCGTTCCAATATCTGTCAGGACTGGACACCAGAAAAAGAAGACTCAATATCCATGAAAGGCTGGATATTTAATTTGGGTTAAAATATCTTCAGGATGAAAAGGAAATGAAAATACAGACATGTTTATGTAACCCAGATGGAGACAGCGGAAACACACATCTTGCTTTACTCAAACACAACTACAGAAAGTTTCCTGGCAAAACTCAATGACTGGTTGTTGCTCTCTGGAATTGTTGCATGCACAGCGGTTTGTCTCTTTGTCAGCATTAAACCATACCTCAGCCTTCAAACAAGGGAAAGTGGTAGAGTAAAGATCCAAAGACATTTTCAGTCACATTGCTGCACAGATCCTGATGAATTCAGTTCAGTTTTATGTATAACAGTCACCTCAAGCCACTTTATATTCTAAGGCAATGATCCTACAATAGTAGAGACATAACAGAAGGCACACTGTGAAGGAGAGCAAGAGATTAATAACTAATAATTAAAGGCAAAGTGGTATACCGATGTGATGAAGAAGATACACTCAGAGGGAAGCCTCCAGCAGCCTAGGCCTATTGCAGCATAACTAAGGGTGGGTTCAGGGTCACCTGATCAGCCCTAACCATATGCTTTAGCAAAAAGGAAAGTTTTAAGCTGAGGGGTTCAAATCCCGCCATCACCTTCCTGTTCAAAAACTGATCTGATCTACGGGGATGTTGTTTCCATACGGATGTTCCAGACGCTTTTATAATGTGAGAAAAACAGATAGTGAATAGTGACTCTAACACGTCAGCCTTTTACAAATATCTGTTCCCCGTTCTCAGCATCAACATAGTAAACCAGGCATGGGACTGGTTAAGCAATAATTCAATTAGCTCAGGATAAAAATAGATTCAGAAGGCTGCGCTTGTGAGTTTGAGGTACAGCGTGTTCTTTTGTTTTTAGTTTTTTATTATAATTGATTAATAATTTAAAAGAATCCTTGAACACAAATTTGCTCTTGCTATCAAGTCTAACAAGGACATCTAAGAAATTTTGGAGAAGTACCTTTAACAGTGTAACATCTGCAACATTGTTTCAACTTTTATTTTAGAACAATTTTTCACTGTGACTATATATCAACAAAACGCAGACACCTGATGGTTATTCACCATCAAAACATTTGCTGGGCAGTTTCTCATAATGTCATCATCTGTTTTATAAGGTGTTGATTTAATGTACATTGATTTCGACATTTCCAGGCTCAAGTGTTTCTGCTGTCACTATCTTAGCTGCAAAACACAAAAAATGGATGGGTCTGACTGTGCATACTGGGCCTACAGAGAGGAGGTTCAGGATCTGAAGGGATTCTGTGACAACAACAACCTACATCTGAACACAACCAAGACCAAGGAGATGGTAATCGACTTCAGGAGAACAAAGTGATCTGAGTACTCCACCCTCTACATTGATGGAGAGGAGGTAGAAAGAGTAGAAAGCTTTAAGTTCCTCAGGGTCCACATCTTGGCCAACCTTACCTGGTCCACAAACATTTCCCACCAGGTAGAAAAAGGACAACCAAGGATGTACTTTCTTAGGAAGCCCAAATACCCTAAAGACTGCTAATTAACTTCTACCGCTCCGCTTATCTTATAGTGACTAACGAGTTGACAGAAAACACATTGGGTAATGAGAGTGCAGTTTCATACTCCAGATAGTACGACTAGCAGACTTCATTATTTTCGTTGAATTTAACCCTAAATAAATGAAAGGAAAAAAAAACAAACAAAAAAAATCAGCAGGTAGACATTTACAGATGTCAAGACAGAAAGCTGTTTTCCTATTTTCTATAGGACAGTATGTCTGTGAAGGTTGTCAGTCATCCAGGTCATCGTAGTCCAAGGAGCTTGCAAAGAAAAGCATCTGGACTTCTTTAAGTTGCTTGAAGACGTTTCACCTCTCAT